TTTGTTTACTTGTTTGTGAGAAGGTTTTTCTTTTTAATTGACATGTGAAAACTAACAGTTTAAATTTTGCCAAATGTTTATAAATATTGTTAAACTAAAAGTATATATTTAGAAATATTAAAAAGCAAATACAACCGCAACGAGGTCAGTGTTCCGTGCATGATGATGTATGATCGATAGCATAATCATTGTGCTATCGATCATATGGATTTTATCCAGTGTACTAAAAATATATCTTTCTGAATTTGAAATTTATAATATAATATCATTGTTTTTGAATATCAGTATAATAATTGTTTATTTCTATTGCTTGATCGGAGTTTCTTCGAGTCACTGTGTATAAATTAATAATTTTTTACATTAATACTCCGTCAAGTAATTTTTGTAAGGCTTTCAGTTGTCAATTGTATAGTACTGTACATGTATACATATACGTACATCTAAGCTCTTATCTTTGCTTCTCTTTTAAGAGAGTGGCATATAGTCCAGTCGTTGAATAAGATACAATGTTATTAACTCTATTAATAGCAAATAACTTTTTAAAAATTAAAACTAACTTGTGCTTAATAATGTGCTAATAATAGTTTCGAATATGTAAAAAAACAAAACACTTTCATTCATCATATTCCTACTGAATACTGTTAAAATATTCACTATTGCTCCCGGGCGTCACAAATCCAGGATTTAATACTGATAAATAAATAAATGATACATATTTTTCAAATGCACAAATTTATATTATTTTTTATTGGGTATTTATCATAATTTTTTAAAAAAATATATAATTAAAATTTACTTTCGACTGAGAAATTTTACAGTCATCATTAATTTAGAATTTTTATTTCTATTTAAAAGTACACTTAACTGACAAATAACTAATATTAAGTTCTATCTGCTACTTAAATTATTTCTTTAGGCCTATACCGGTTCTATAAAATATTCAAAAATTCCAATTTAACATTTAAAATAATATCACCATTCTTCCAGTAATTTATTTTGGTTAAAATCGTTAGAAATAATAATTTTGTTTAATGTCGTTCAATGTTATTTTCCTTTCTGATCGAAAAAGACGATTTTTTTACAATAATTTGATCTCCATATATGAATTTATACGATTATATAATATTATGGTGCCAATTTTAATTAGATGTTTACTAATTTCAAGGTTAATTGATGTTTTTTATTATTTCTCGAGACAAATAAATATTAGTGATGGACGATACCAAAATTCCTCCCGATTCAGATTCTTTTGAATACTTTGTAAAGTTTATTTTAGTTTAGAAAAATTAACGATTTACCTTACGAGCACGATACATTCATTAATTAATAAACATGTTTATTATATATGCCTAAGAATGGAAAACGTTTGGGAAATCCAGAATCAATCTTTCGAAAGAAACGTGAATATTCTCCTTTATGTAGATACAGATGCTTTCATTGTGTACTACAAAATATATTTTAGATAAAATGAATATTACAACACTACCCTCGAAGAGATTACAGCTAATTCCCTTTTACTCAACGAACTGTTCCGTGACGTCATGTAGGGTCGCCATCTTTGGAAACCGATTCTTTGGCCAATGCGATGGCCAGTGGAAAGGAAAGGTAAATGAAAAACAGCACTTTTTCACGCTTCTCGCAATGGGAATGTCTGTTAAATGATTTAACTCCATCGTATTTAATACTAAATACGGTTCGGCAAATGATGCAACGAGCCGAACAAATATCAACAACGTTACGAGTTAACCAATTCTTGAATTCATTCACTCGAGCCTCTAATGTCTAGACCGACTAGTTTTTAAAAATCATTTTTAAGACTCAAAATGGCATTAAACTTGGCGCGAACAAGTATTTTTACTTAGAACCGCGCGATTCGCATTTGAAAATTTAACGTATTACGGCATCGTCTGTGAATCATAAACTTTCATAATTATAATGAGAAAATCGTTTTATCATTACAAGTAAACACACTAAATATTAAAAATAATTTTATATAACATTTTTCAATAAAAATGCGATTTTGTTTACATTTTAAATTGTTTTGCCAATCGCTGGTCTCAATTTGAAACTAGATAGCCTGATAGTTCAATGCTAACTCGCTTACAATTAATTAAAACTTTTTTAAAAGCAGGAAAATTTATAAAAAACTAACAACTAATGAAATTACTAAACAATTAAAATAAATGTAAATGTGATTATCCTTTGGCGAAACAACACAAACAATTTCTATAGTTATGTCGCATAAGAAAAAAACCTGCAATTAAAAAACTTGTAACTAAGGGTTCAAACATGCAGACAAAATTAAATAAAAATAATAAAATAATAATTAAAATTCTAGCCTTTACACCGAAACAAAAATTAAAATTAAAATCAAATGAATTGAAAATGGACATTTATCGTGACATCTTAACAAGCCGGGCTGCAATTTTAAATTTAAATTTATTTCATTTAAAATATATGCTCTCCACCTCAAATCAGTACTGTAGTGTCTTGCTTCCGTACATCATACTTTCCTGCTAGCAATGGAGTCATGCCGGTCATCTAGCTCAGTGGTCCCCAACCCCCGGGCCGCGGTCCGGTACCGGTCCGTGGATCAAATGGTACCGGGCCGCCCAAAGAACATTAAATTATTTCCATTTTATTTACTATGGTGTATTTGTCTCCGGTTTGTGCGACTTTTAATAGACGACGGAACAGCGGAATAAACTGGATATAAGAAACACACTTCGAGTGTCATTGTCTTCTATTACCCTCAGATGGAACTGTCTTGTTGCAAAGAAACAAGCTCAGTGTTCTCATTGATTTAGCTTTCTGGTGAGTTAAAATGTTAAGTCACATTATATTCATTTTTTGGTGTAATTGTATTTTATTTTGAAGGCACGTTTAAATACAGTTAAATTAAAATTATTAAATGAAATCAATGTAAAATATGAACAATCAACGTCCCCCCTCAGTGGGCCGCGGTAAAGTTATCAAACGTTGACCGGTCCGCGGCGATAAAAAGGTTGGGGACCGCTGATCTAGCTAACTCCTTTCAGGGGAAACTTTTTGAATTGAAAACAGGGCTGTGGAGTCGTGCAAAAATCTACCGACTCCGACTTTTCCTTACCATCCGACTACGACTCCGACTCCGGCTAAAACACCTAAACTCCACGACTCCGACTCCGACTCCACAGCCCTGATTGAAACAACGCAACTTCCGGTTTGTATCGGTAGTTCCTATAAAGTTAATCGGGGCCTCATGCCCCTAAGTTTTCCATATCTGGTCTCGACTTCATCTATCTAACTCCATTCTCGAGATTATGGAAGGGGACAGACAACGGACGATAGTAGGAATTTATAGGTCTAAGTTTTTTTTTTTTTTCAAATTGCAGCCCAAAAATAATAGAATACAGTACTACAATATCGTATGCTGACTCGTCATATGAAATGTTCCAAAATCAATCCAACAAAGCCATTCCGATAAAGTAAATGTCGCTTATGTCATCTGTCCATCGTAGTGCCACGAAACTAGTTCTTAAGCGTAACATTGTTAAAGTTTAAATTAATTTATTTTCAAATATAGTAATTGCAGTATTATTCATGAAACTATTGGTACATCGCGCTCTGAATTTAAAGATAAAAACGAACATGTTTCTAGATTATCGGAAATTTTGCTTATCTGAAAGATTATAGGGTCCCATTAAGTTCGGATAATCGAGTTCTCACTGAACTTAAAAATTATCCTATCATTTTTACTTAAAATAACAAAAATATAATATTTGTTATTAAAGCTAAAAAAATGATTCATAGCATATCAATCTTGCTAATTCTGTCATCTCATTGAAGAAATTAACTAATTCCGGGATCTGTAAAACATAAATTCCATTAATGCTGCAAAATGTAATTTTACTTTCATTGAAGGATATAACTTCTCAAAGTTCATTATTCATTACTGTCCCTATGTCTTCATCCATTGGCATATCCTGTAATTTTTTCATTACTTCTCCTGGGTCCTGTGCAAACAATATACCGTTTTCAAGATTGGTGGCAATGTATGTGTGCAATCGTTTTTCAATAATATATATTGGTTCTCTGCATTTTTCCACTATTGGTCTTATTTCTTTACCGAGCTTATGTGTTTTAGAGAACCCAAATAATCTTGGCATCACTGATCGCCTGTTCCGACATTTTTTTTAAGGAAAGTTAATACGTTGCTAGCTTGCTTTCTCTCTTCTATCGATATGTTTGATAATCTTTCTATCAATCTGTTCGCATTCTGTTCGTTCAATATAATCCACGAAACTTTGTTGCAAGTTTCCCTTTTCATAAAAAAACAAATGCTTGCTTTTGTCTCAAAGACAGAAGAAATTACGTCGACAAATAAGTATATCAGTTATTGACAGTTCAGCTAAAAGACATGACATCAAATAATAAATCAGTTAAAATTAACGGTATCTTGAAGCAAATCAATTTTAAATTTTTATGAGGGTGTTCTGCATGGAATTTAATACCATAAGAAATAGAAAGTATAGTTTTATCTATAGTTAAAGCTTTGAAATCAAAGCTGACGTTTAAGAGGAATTATATTTCACTACATCAAATGTAGAATCTTTTTAAGAGAAAATGGCCCCTATTTAGGCGTTACAGACGTAAGGCGAAAACCCAAAAAACTCCATGTGGCTAGCCCGTCCGAGCGAGGTACGAAACCACGACCTGAACGCCCAGTGTTTAGGGTACGAAGACCACTTGACCACTGTGGGCATCTCGAATCTACGAATGTATTGTACTGTACAATGTATTTCCATGCTGTTAGCAACAGCAAGGAAATACATTGTACAGAATAAGTTTGTTAGAAACTCCTAATTTTCTACTATATATACGAGTATTGATATAATTTTGTATATTTTTTGAGTTATTTATTTTGTATTTTATTGTTATTTTTGCCAATTTTTAGTTATTTTTGCTTCATATTCAAATATTTAAGCGTTGTTATTCTTGTATTCTATTTTGAAACGATATTTAACGGTAAAGATGTTCTAAACAAAATGGCTTCAAGACAGCCTATTTAACAGGTTGAAAACGTTTGCCAAAATTAAACGAATCTCAACAGCCAAAAGGGTGTGATATATTTTGAATTGTTCTGCTGAGGGTGCTTTAGATTGTTGATCAATTGTGCGATATTTTTCGCTCTCCAACTTTTCTTTTATACTCTTTGTGCTAAATATCCAAAGAGATTCTCGATTGGCCGGCATTGTGGCAGACTTGACGAATTATGTTCTTTGGCTTTAAGGTCGAATGTGCATGGTGAGACAAAGGTTTTTCGGGCAAAAAGAATTCTTTTGCCCGAAATAGAAAAGAATTTTTAAAAATTTTTTAAATTCATTAAAATTTTTAAAAAGCACAGCATTTAACGTATAGTATTCATTCGTAATAAGGATCGTTAAAAAGAGAAATACTGTAAATAAATATGAATCGGATATTCAAAGTCTCGAGTATTTTTACTACATAGGCTTCGACGTCACGCGGAAACGCAAGAATGTGGGCAACAATACTTTTCACTTTCTTTGTTGCGAAAGTGGGCGATTTTCGAATGCGAAAGACATTTTGGAGCTTTTCGGAGTTATTTCTCGAGTTTATTTGCGTTTTATATAAAGGTGAGTAATATTTTTACAGATTACACAATATTCTGTACAAATATCTTTATAAAAATAGAATTACCGATCTCGAAATTTGTCTTTAGATAATCATAAGGTACTTAAACTTAAGCAATGGCGTCATCAAATGGTGCACACTAGGTGAGTAATCCTACAATTTTTTGTTTATAGCATAGTTTATATGGATTATTCCCAAAAAATACGTGTTTTGGAAATGTTGAGTCAAATTAGTCTAGAATCGATTAATTTTATGGAAGAAAACCTTTCAAACAGCCGTAGTCCGTAAACTGCATACGTGCCGGGCTGTGATTATCTCATGTATTTAAGGACTCGTACAACATGAAATTCATAAAAGACGGAACGTATCTACCGTGTTATGGGGAGTCTACTGTACACGGTTTACGTTTTAACTGCAAGAAAAAATCGTTGCGGCGCACGTTTACAACATCACGAGACTCAGTGAACGTCGCGCATTGACTCACGGGAAATTTGTTGAAAAAATGGCGGATACATTTAACATCGAGGGTTATCAGCGAAGGTAAATAAACAAATTAAAGTATTTATAGGATGTTTAATAACACTAATTAAACGTTGTGTTTCCTATCGTACGATAGGACTACCCCATACCTTTGTCGAGGGAAGTAGTGGCTTATATAAATTCGAAAGCAGCTCGGAAAATTAATTTTTAGAAAATTTACAAACGTATTACGCTGTTGATAGTAGAAACGATGGTATATGTAAATTCTATAGGTACTGTACATCACTTGCTAAAAAATTGAATAATTAAATAATTTCTGGATTAAACTCGTCTGTTTCTTTACAATATTATTCGTACATGCTTAAATAATCACGATTTTAATAAAATATGTCATAATTTTAACCCCAAACACAAAAATGAAGTTTAAACAGATCTCCTACTCGCCATGCTAGACGTAGCGAACGCCATTATCGACCGTCTAGAATTGCCAGATGGCGGCGCTCGACCGTCCGGCGTTCATGTTTTTGGCTGAAAACGACGGCCGCAATCTCTCTCTAAAAAAAAAAAAAATGCTAAACTCAAGCCATCCTAAATCTCTTTTTTGTAACACTTTAAATCTATCCAATCTTAACACATGGTTTAACATTTCTATACATTTACATAATTGTATATGTTACCGCTAAAGCTCGAAACTCGTTAATCTGCAGATTAGCTAGCGTGATCCGTTAAAGTTGTGAAAATTGTTCCATTTCTCAAATTACCTAGATAATGTGCAGAGTATCTAGGTAATCCGCACATTACCTACTAGGCACTCGGTAAAGTGAAAATAAGATCTTTGCCACAAATAAATGTACCACAAATAGGTGTGCTTGTCGCA